GGGAATTCTCCCAAGGGTATTGGGTTTGTCTTACACATACTAAATGCCTTGCCTTTGGGTTTCGGTTAGCTTGCTGTATAATTAAATCGATAGCGTTGATTTCCGTAGCTTCAGTTTAGAAATCAGTGTAGCTCGTGTGGAGATTAAGTTTAGGTGTGAGGCATTTATGTGCATTTACCGCTATTAAGCCCTATGAAATAATAAATCAGCTAGGCTCCAAGAAAAAATAAACAAAATCTAAGGTATTGGTACTCTTGGTTGCAGCTTCATTGATTTGTCACTGGGGTCTGTTTGATAGGTATTTCTCCCAAACGCCATTATTTTGAGAGAATATGAGGCAAATGTCTGAGGCCATGATACACTTGGGTGTGTGACGTAAGTGAAGTGCTTGCCCAGACCTCTCCGTGTGTATCTGAATTTAAAAAAAAAACATAAAACAAAGCAAACTAATTGACTGCGTGAGCTTGGCCCTTACTCAGTCGGCAAATAGGAAACATTTAAAATATGGGGTTGATAGTGAGACAAAGGAAGAAATCAAGTGAATTCCAAGTTAATGGCTTGTCATTGACGTAATTTCATGACACATACTCCGTTCTTCATTCACAGTATACGTGCATATTTTTAAAAATCAAGAGTGAATCAGAATTGATTCTCAATTTAGAATTTAGGGGGAACTCGGAACGTTTGTGCTCAATTTAGAATTGACCATGTCATTTCATATCATCAGATATGACAGACTGACACAAACGCTAGACACAGGTGGAAATAACCTCTGCTCTCTGTAAATAGAGGTTTGGGTCCTGTCATAATAGTAAACTATCTATTTTGCACAACTATGGAGAAAGGGTGCTCTTTTCCAGTGCTTTGCACTCTGATTTGTAAATTTCATAGAAGAGTTTATGTTCTCAATTCTATTCCAAAAAATTATCTATCCTTGGCCCTTTTTTTTTTTTTTTTACTAAAATTGCCTTTAAAATCAATGCATTAAATTGATTTTCTTTCTTTTTTTTTTTTTTGTAGAGGTTTTTGCTATACGGCACGTGCGCTCGCCAGAAAAACACAGAGAGACAGAAAGCAAGAAATCACCCCCCAGGGGGGATGGCCATGGTGCAATCCCTTCTCCATTTTCCTCTCGGGATCTTGGGCACGCTTGCACATGCGCCCAGTATAAGTTTAAGCCACCGGGTCTGGGACTCAAACCATGGTCAACCACATGGTAGTCCAGCAACATAGCCATTATGGTAACTGCTGGTCCCCCATTTTCCAAACTGATTTAATTTATTTGAAATCATTGCTTTAGGTGTTTCAGTATATATATCTTTTTTTTTTTTTTTAAGGTTTTTGCCATAAGTCATGTGTGCTCTCAGGAGAGAGAGGGAAAGTAAGAAATCACCCCTCAGAGAAAATGGTCACGCTACAGCCCCTTCTCCTTCTGTCTCCTCCCAGGATTTGGGGCACGTATGCCCATGTACCTGTCATGATTTTCAAGCCGCCATTAGCCTTGTGGGAGTCCAGCATCTTAACCACTTCACCACATGCTGGCCCCAGAATATTTACCTTCATTGAGTTATATCACTAAAACCCATACGACAGTACTTGTATGAAGGGGTAAATGAGAGATGAGCTACTTAACTATCAAAACTGATTTATTCGCCCTCGTTTTCTTTTCATAGTATTTTCTTGTATTGTGCCTGGATTGCTGCCCTGTTGTCTGTTAATTACTGACTTAATGTAATACTAAGTCTGTTTCATTTTATGTAAATTTCAGTGCTTACTTTTTTTTTTAGAACACTTAAAACTGGTTAAAATTCAGGGACATATCCAAATTAAGAATATCCTATTTTGTCTTTCATTGACAAATTTGCTCTGTGCAAATACAGCCTGAAAAAATATTTGCAAATGATTAAAGGCTTGTGTTTCTATAAAGAGACATTCTTGACATTCTGCCAGTACATTTTAGTAATCACCTTATAAGTGTAATCGGGCCTAACGCATTATGAATGGGCTTTGACTAGGTGATGTGGAGTTGCTATAATCAGGACTATGACAAGGAACTTATGAGGTCTGCAAGAGCTTGCTGAGGACTGCTGGAATGCAGACTGGCTATGGCATGAATTTTCTTCACTAAGCTAGTCACCTCACCGTATTTTGGTAGGTTAAAATTGAAAAGTGGGCACTAAGCAAAGATGGACTCACTTGCGAGACAGTAATTGACACATCGTTAACCATACCCACTCTGAGCCTGCTTGTCTTGTGTGAACAAGAGAAGGAGCAAGAGACAAGCACCAGGGAAGGTTTTTGTGAGAACCAAATTGAGATCGATCGTATAGGCCCCGTGGTCATACCTGGCCCTCAATCATGACTGATGAGTAATGTGTGAGAGAGAGTTGGTAGAAAAGGAGAAAGGGCTGATTGATTTTGATTGGCTCTGTTGGCCAACAGAAAGTTTAGCACATGTACATGCATGCTCACACACACACACACGCGCGCGGCAAAATTTATACACAACTGTATTCAGAGCCCTGTGCCATCTAAACCATCTCCAAAGAGCACTTCTTAAGAAAGCCAAATGTATTGCTAATTGAATGTTTATCAAAGTATCTATAGTTAACATATTCATTTTCACTCTCATGTTTCTACATGTTAGAATTAAGGACCTGTTTTAGGCAGAGAAAGTATTTAGTACAAAACCCATTTTATACCTCATGGAGGTAGTTTTCCTGTAATAACAAAAAATTATGATAGGTTCTTTTTTTAAAAAAAAAGATTATTTTATTTCATTTTTTATTATCATTATTATTATTTGTTTATTTTGACCAGAGAGAGAGAGAAAGGGAAAGTAGGAAAGCAAGCCTCCAGGTCTGTGACTCAAACTGTGGTCAGCCATATAGGAGTCCAGCACCTCAACCACCACGCTACCTGCTGGCCCCCATTTTAGGTTTTTAGTGGCAGCTTTTATGGTATAGAGTTGGTCATACTTATTGGGTCATCGGAAAAGTCATGGTGTATTTTTGCAGAGAAAAATATGTCACGACTTTTCCATCGACTACTTTTTAGTATATAATTAGTACATGGATTCTTTGCTTAGGAAAGAAATCCAATTTTTAATACTTTTAGCATTAGCTTTGTTAACTGTTTTTGTGGAATTGTTAATGCCAAATATGTAAAGTATAGGGTCATGGAAAAGTCATGACATATTTTTTTAGTTTTTTTCTAGGTGTTTCTATGTAAAAATGTGTCTTGACTGTTCCGATGACCCAAACTTGTATCAAATTGGCATAACGTAGTCATCTCCTATAATGGCACGGCTCCGGGTGGTTCTTCCCGGGATATCTGGACGTTTCTCAGGTGTTCTCCTCTCTGACTCTTCACCTCTACAGTCCACCTCTACACACTTTGCCATCATCCCATCCACATCAGAGAGCAAAGCTGATCCATCACTCGCCCCTCACATGGGAAGAATCAGAAGTTATAAACATTAAAATCTTGGGCAACATGGGTATTACAACAGCTAAACAAGGCTGAAATTGGAAACCCAAATCATGAGAGAATGAAAACTAATGTGATATTTTATATGCCATATTCTTGCTAGAATGTTAAGACCTTTTCAACCTTCAGGACAAATTTTCATTTGCGTGTGTGTGTGTGTGTGTGTGTGTGTGTGTGTGTGTTACACTATAATCTGGTAAATACAATTTTGTTGACTGCCAGTTTAATACTACCAATTCAATAATGTTTAGAAAAAATATAAGCAGAAAAGAAGAGGAGGAGCTTCCCCCACCTGCTGTAAGGTCGTGTTTACTCCAGGTGGTGTACAAGAAGAATATATTAGAACTTGTAATTATTTTACATAATACTTTACTTTTCTGCTTTTGCATGAAAAGTAAAGTAGATACTTAATTAGTTATACATTTGAAGGGAGTAGGTTTGAAAAGGAGACTTGATACAAGTACGTAATCTGTGATGGTCAAAGACCGCTCCACTGGGCACTAAGGAGGAGAGACTCCTCTATGCTTTGAGGAAATTTGTTAGAAGAAAACACATGTTACATAAAGGGGAAAAGTGGTTTATAGTAACTTATTTTGCACTTTTTTTTTTACAAATTAAATATTTTTTAATAGGGTTTTAGTTTATTTTTTGGTTTTTGATCTAGGGCATGTGTGTTTGCTAGAGACAGAGAAAGAGAAAGAACGAGAGGGAAAGTGAAAATCACCCCTCAGAGGGGATGACCATACCACAATCTCTTATTCTCCATTCTCCACTCAGGATTTTGGGTTCACATGGCACACTCATCTGGCATGATTTTTGAGTCACCAGTTTCAGAACTTGAACCGGGCAGCTGGCCATGTGGGATCCAGTGCCTTAGTCTCCATGCCACCTGCTTACCCCAAATTAAATACGTTTTTACTAAGTTTTATATTGTTTGAGAAACTTAAAGTACTTTGATATTTTTCCTTTACATCGTTTCTGGTTACCTATGCTAGGTAATACTTAGTAGAATAACTTCAGAAGTACAAAGACAGGAGGGTTGTGTTTAGTGATATGCTCTTCTTAGCTAGAGAATCATTCCTGAAGTGACTCACACTTAACAGGAATGTTTTGTTAGCTGTTTCTTACTTTCATCTGTCATGTTAATGAGCTGCAGTTAACTTTGTTGAGATCATTGAGTTTAATCATTTAAAGGATTTATGTTTAATAAATATAGAAAACTTGAATTGGGCTTATAGAATAAAGTAGTAAAAAGCTTCCTCTTGAAAGTGTGATGTGAATTACTTTTGCCTTAGGCTAATTTTGAAATAAACCTTTCTTGAAGTTCTTCCTTGAAGAAGTAATTGACCTTGGCTAAGTCCAATGTATAATGTGTTTTACTAACTTTACTTCATGATGAGATTAGCTGTTGTGTGTCAAAACAAAATTCGTGACAGGTATAAGAGTTTTCGTAAAACTGACATGTTATATTCATAGAAACCAAATTAATTGAAAATTTATTTTCCTTTTAGTTCACAAGAAGATGAAAGACCTATGTCACCTTTCTATCTGAGGTATTTATTTGATTTTTGTTGTTCTATTATAGGGAACAATAGAGGAGGGTTAAGACTTGTTTCGGTTTTTTTGTCTATTTTAATAATTTTCAACTGCATATGGCTAGCCTAAGCTTGTTTTGGGGGCCCCTCATAATATTATTCATGCTGTATCTTTTTCATCTTTGGTTTAAGAAATTTTTTCAAATGTTTAATAGAGTTCAAAATGTTATAAATTCAGAAATGTCAATTAAATTTTTAAAATAAGATGTCATTTTAAGTTTAAAAGCTGCCTAATAATTAGGCTGTTACCTGAATTAAGAATTTCTAAAAAAAAAAAAAAGAAAAGGGACCAGCAGTTAGTGTAATGGTTATGTCACTGGACTCCCACGTAGTTCACCACAGTTCGAGTTCCGGACCTGGTGGCTTAAACTCATACTGGGCACGTGTGCATGCGTGCCCAAGATCCCGGGAGGAGAATGGAGGAGAAGGGATTGCGACGTGGCCATCCCCCCTGGGGGGGGTGATTTCTCACTTTCTGTCTCTGTCTCTGTCTGTCTGGCGAGCACACGTGCCCTATAGCAACAACCTCTCCAAAAAAAAAAAAAAAGAATTTCTATCTCCTTATATTGGGTCATCATGTTGCAAAAAACAGATGCTGAGGAATGGAAAGCAGCACTCGGAGAGCTTAGGAGAACTGTTTATTATGTCGGCAGGCACAGAGGAGTTAACACTCTGAATCTCCGGCCCCAACTGGGGGTGGACATAATCTTTTATGGGGGAACTGGGGAAAGGAAAGTCTCATCTCTGGATGAAGAATGGGTTCAGAACCCACCCTATGCAGCATCAAAGGGAAGAGTCAGAGAAGCAGAAGTCTAATCTATTCAAGGTACTAATATGTTCAAGGTACTAAATTAGGGAGGGGCAGAAAGTTTGCTGGAGGGCAGAAATTTCAGGCATCTATTAGCCCTGAGTTAGTTACTCATGAATTCAGGGTCCTTGGAAAACTACATCATGCTTTCTTGAAAACCTAACTTTTACATACACATACACACAGAGAGAGATGGGAGGGTAGAATGGTGAGCTACAAGGCCCACTCGCTGAAGAAGCCTTGGGTTAGGGTTGTGTTATAGAATTTTCTATGAAGTAGTGGAGTGGGAAACAATATTCAGCAAGTTCATGGAGTTCTGGATTATTTTCTAAATCTGAGAAAACCAAAACAACCACCATGAAAGCCGGTTAAGTTGCCACAATTCCAAGAAGAAATTAGAAAAAGAGACTTCTCTCCAGTGATTGATGCCTGCTGTACTGATGTGATTGTTGGGTAAGCCATCTAACTGAGGCCCAACCTCAAGCCAAGTTTTTCTTATTGCCTTGCTTTCCTTACTACCTATTTAGTTCAAAGGCTTGGAAGATATGTTTCAAAGCCATATAACTATGCCAATTGAAGATGCTCAGTTTCTTTTTGTATTTGATATCTTTCTACAATTGTGAAATCTATTTAAAAGAAATGTTGGCCTGGCAGGTGGCGTGGTGGTTGAGGGTGCTGAACTCCCACATGACTGACTGTGGTTCAAGTACTGAACCTGGTGGCTTGCTTTTTCACTTTCTCTCTCTTTCTCTCATTCTCTTGCTCTCTGTCCCTCGCTAATCAAAACAAAATAAATAAATAAAGTTAAATAAAATAATTGTTTTTAAAAAATTGTCAAGCTAGCAGGTGGCATGGTGGTTAAGGCACTGGATCCTACCTGCCTGACTTTGCAGTTCAAGTCCTGAACCTGGTGACCTGAAAAAAAATCTGCCAGGCACTTGTGTGTACATGCCCAGAATCCCGGGAGGAGGAGAAGGGACTGCAGTTATGGCCATGCCCCCTGCGGGGTGACTTACCACTTTTCCTCTCTCTCTGTCTATCTGTGTCACTCTCCAGCGAGTGCATGGACTGTTAACGGATGGACCATATGTCAAAAAATTTTTAAATCTTTAAAAAAAGGGAAAGAAAGAAATGTTAGGATAGGAAATGCACAATTTGTTTGTGTATTTAGTTTGAATCTGATTTGTTGCAAAAGTCTCAGAGTTAGATATAGACTCTTATTCAACCACCAATAGTTCAGGAATGTGTCATAGGAGGTCAGGCTTCACCAAATAACTGCTTTTTAGTCGTGTTCTGCCCTTTAGCAGCTAGCAGGGTGTTACATAATCGCTTTGTGGTGAGACAGGGAACATCTGAGGTTTCGGTTTGAGAAATCTTGGTGGTCCATGTTCTTCATCTCGGTTTCCTGCTAACCAAACCAGCACATTCTGGTCCCTGGGCTAGCTCAACTATGCAATTACTGTGAACACAGGAGGGTGTTGTTGCTGGGTTCACAGTGACTTGGTATTCATTATGTAAATCCACACAGTCATATCAAACAAGCAATTATGTTGTGTGTGCTAATGGAAATTAAGTTTTATATAGGATTGGAGATGATGGCACTGGATTAGGCCAACTCATGAGAACCAACATCTCCGAATGTCATATTTCTATTACTCTGGTAATGTCAGTCTGTGTTCTACATAGTATTGTATTTGTTTTATTTTGACCACCACTATAAAAAGCAGATGGGGAAAGTTAAGTATATACCTTTTTAGACATATACTTGTGAGGTTTGGTTTTGTTTCATGTTTTTTAGTTTGTTAGAGGATGCGTGCACTCTCTGGAGAAAGAGAGCGGGGAAACTGAGAAAGCAGCTCCATGGGAGTCGTCATGCCACAATCATTCTCCTCCATTTCTCCTGTTGGGATTTTGGGCACATACGCCATGTGTCCGGCATGGTTGTTTTTTTTTTGTTTTGTTTTTTTTTTTTTTGGAGAGGTTTATTGCTATAGGGTGTGTGCGCTCACCAGAAAGAGAAAGTCAGAAAACGAGAAATCATCCCCTAGGGGAGATGGCCACGCCGCAATTCCTTCTCCTCCATTCTCCTCTCGGGATCTTGGCGTGCACATGCGTCTGGCATGAGTTTAAGCCAGCAGGTCTGGGACTTGAACCACGGTCGACTACATGGGAGTCCAGCAACATAGCCATTATGCCAACTGCTGGTCCCAGAACCCGGCATGTTTTTCAAGTTACTTTGGCTGGGACTTGACAATGTGGGATCTATCTGCCTTATCCACCATGTCACTAGCTGGTCCCACAATTGTGTTTCATAATGTGAAAAATGTGTGGTTACCTGAACTGTGATATTTGACTAATAGCAGAGTCTTTGAAAAGAAATTCCATACTACAGGATGAAAGCCAAAAAAAAAAAATAGGATATAAGAAAATTAATAATATAGTATCTGGACTCTTGACAGAAGCTGCTTGAGCTTTTCAGTGTTGAGTCCTAAAGACTAAAACATGATAAATAGGAAAAAAGCATGACTATGCATGGTGTTCCACATTTAAAGTAGAAAAAGGGAAAGTTACTAGTAGGTATTCTTTTCATATGATGGACATTTAAACTAAGTAGGGTTATTTCATAATTGCAGAACTAGTATATTTAGCCTGAAATTAAAAGTTCAAAAGTAGTTTCTTTTTCTGAATAACATTATGAAAGATCTTCGAAAGCTTGTGAAAAATTCCTATCATGAAAAACCAATGCATGAATTTCAAAATTGTATTGCACCAAAATATACTTGTACTTTAATTCCATTTTTCATTTTTGAAGTAATTTTGAATTATGTAAGAATTAGGTTGGTACAAGTTAATTTAACTTCTTTTTAATATCCATTTGACATTAAACAAGAAAAATCTGGTAAAACATGACCGTCCTTTTTCCAATTATTTGCACGAGTGGTTTGAGATAAACTTTTCCTAGCTTATTTTAGCATGTAGTATTTAAGTAGAAGAAAGGAAACATGATTGTTAATTATGATTAAGTTCATTTAGATTTTGAGGGCTAGAAACATGACTTATCCACTGTTAAAAAGTTTACAAATTAAAAAAATTATAAATTGCACTACCTCTAGTAAGAGCAAGTGAATGCTTAAATGTTTTAAATATATTTAAATGCATTTCTGTTAGCTTGCTTATCTTTTTTATTCCTTCCCCCCCCCACTTTATTACTTAGGATTTCCTTGCTGCAGTACTTCAAAGCAAACTATTGCAAGACTGGTGAATTTCCTAATGATCTGTTAACATACACACACACACACAAAATAAAAAAATAAAAAAATAAAACAAAACCTAAAATCAGAGTAAAGCAGACAAACTGATATTAGAAAGGCAAAAAGGTAATACAGGGCATCACATATGTATAGGAGAGGAGACCAGCAGATTGTATGGACCAGTAAGAGCCATGTCTGGGATAGAGGACAGGATGGAGAGAATAATGATGAATGCACTAGGGCCCAGGCCCTTCTGGGGCTCAGTGGAAAGGTTGGGGTACAAAAACAAGGAACCAGAGAGGCCACTGCAGTGTCACCTTGCCCCTGCTTCTCACCTTACAGAGTTGCAGTTCCTGTAATTTGCTATTTTCTCTTTTTTCTGTATGTTTCAGTTGTTTGCAGACCTTTCTGTAATCAGATAGGGCTTTTATAGACACACACCTCCAGTATTTTTATTCTACATCACATTATTGTCTGTGACAACAACTCTGTCTTCTCAAATATCAGTGCTCCTCCAGCCTCACCTAACTCACCACATAGCCATTTGTCCTTTTTCCCAAAGGAAGGAAATAGCTACAAATTTACACCTGCCACCATCCCATATGGCAAGTCCATTGCAGTTACAGTGACTGAAACAGTAGGTGTCATTGTTCTCCAGATGCCCAGCAGGGATTACCAGTCTGTTGAAATGACTATGGGAATGAAAGGGAAAAACAGATTATGCTAAACCCTTAGTGAGATTGCAGCAAAATAAACACGCAAACTTCAAGTGAGGCCTGTTCTCGGCAAGGATGTCCTTACTCTAGTCTGTTTCATAGTCTAAGTTGGGAGCCCCTACCTCAGTTGCTTGGTTTAGTATCAAAGCCACTTGCTGCTGTTCTGTGCCGTGTCCAGCCTGT